AAATCTGGCTTAAATTGCATAAGTTGCTGATAATACGTCCAGAGTCCAGAGTTATAAGGCTCTGTATATTTTAATATACACTGATAGGTTTTGTCACAGTGATTGATAGGGCATGTGCGCACTATTGAAAACGTCGGAATTCAATGGGCGGAAATCATCGGAAGAACTTTTTTCTGAATATCATTTTCCAGTTGGGCAGGAGGAACCCTCGAGGCTCCGCAGATAAACCGCCGTTTTAGACTTGTAAGCAAGGTTTTGGACGTGTGCTCTGACGCAAAAAATGCATCATGTAAGAATGATGTCGGCATGTTCAGACGTTGGTTCTGTGAACATTCTCTTGAACCAAACTTTTACTAAGTAATGCAAGTTTTCCACCGTTGATCATAATATTTAAGCAACTTAACAGTGAAAAGTGTAGTGTTGGTTAGTTTATTGAACATTCCAGGATTATCGTTCAAAGCCTCTCGGATTAAGCATGACGTTTCGGTTCAGAGACCTCCTGTGTTGTGTCAGTAACTCTAAAAGGTTTTAAATTGCGCTTAATTAAGGCGATTATTGTTTTAAAGCCGAGAAAGCTTTCCTAATGATTATTCCTCAATTCTTGTCGTCCACTTAACACCCAATTGATTCAGGCAGTGTAGGTTTTATTTGGAAAACACTGGGATATAGTTGTTGCGTGTTGATGAAAAGCAAATGTCCCCATGATCTCTCGCGGCAAGAGGTCGCGACTTCAGACAGGCAAACTGTAAACACGCTGTGTGGGGTAGACAAAACTATTTCAAAAGAGATTGATATCTGTCACTATTATCAGATTATCGCCTAAACACAAGAGATAATTGGTTAAAAGCTTCAAATGATAGCAACTTAACAGATAAATTGCAGCGGAAATTTGTGGTATCTATTTTGTCTGTCGGCATGTGGAGCTCCTATTTCGAAAGAGCAGTTTTTGATGGGAAAGGTTGGGTCAATATATTCTGGCTGCTTGGACTGTGCTGTGTTTCAGTTATCGTTTCATGGTAACTTAAAGCTTTCCGCCCTTCTTATTGTTGTTTTTCTTTGCTGCATTGTATCAAAGAAAGTTCGTTACTCGAGTGCAGTTAATTTGCGTATACTGAAGGGTGTTTTGGGAAGCTGTGTTTGCAATCAATAAACAAATTAAGGCCATTAAGATCAATATATTTAAATGTCTGATTCATCCCGCCTTTGTTTTGTAAACAGTTCTAAGTTGATCACAGCAAATACCTGTAATGTACTTATAATAAAATTAACCCTTTTTAACACCGTACTCCCTTATTTGAGCTATGTATGGATTTGCGGCCCCAAAGAGTAGGGTTTTTCAGCCGTTTTGGTCATAAATGAGGTGATCGAATTTTGGCCATTTTGGTGTTAAATAGGGTCTTTGCACTCTAGTCTTGACAAGGGTATGTTTTTAAGAAGAAGCTAGACTTTCATCATTATTGATAAGACCATCATCAAAAGCCCTTCACAAATTATGTGCACGGCAATTTAACATTTGTCTCAACTAGGGAACTAATTTATACGGCAGGTCTGAAGCAAGGTTTTGATTTAAGGATCAGGTCATAAATAGGGCTTTGAATTTTCGGTCAGGTCATAAATATGGTAGGGAAAATTACAGATTTTGGTCATAAATAGGGTAAGGGTTTTTGAAGCGGACCGCACACCCCCATCCAATTTTTCTGAGAGTAGCCCCGAACATCGTCCTTATTCGGTAAAACTGACTATGAATCGATTGCAAAACTTGCTATAATATTTACTCGTTTTAAATGAGTTTCTTTTGTCTTATGCATGCATCAAGGAACAAAGAGATTGTTTTCTCTTCAAGCAACAATGACTGACTGTTTCAATATCCGGAAAACAAGACAAAAGTAGCCACTACACTTTGGGGCTTGTGTTTTTGTGTCGGCACTTTGCCTACATGTTCTTGTCATCTGGTTTCGTGCCTTATAACAAAACGAACCATGCACAGTGAAGGCGTTATTTTCGGCGGTGGGGGGTAATTTTTCTTCTTGTAACTGAGAAATAATTACACTGAACAATGCGAAAAGAGCGTCGGCAAACTTTGTGTTCAATAATCACAGTCTACGATAATCCTAAGGTATTGCTTCCTACGTATAATACATGTAATATTATTTTTAACTTGAATCAAACACTTGCCATACTTCGGTAAAAGTGCGCCTTTGAAGGCTAACTATAACCCGGTGATGACGTACTATTCAGGGTCGACGAAGTTTAAGGCCACTTGATAGGCGTTTGATGACATTTGATTTACCACCCAGCTCGTTGTCCCCCTTACAAATCCCAAAAATTATTGATCTTTCGCTCTTAGAGACCCCCAATAATCCATACGAGAGCTTTTTTGGCTAGTGTTTTTGCTGCGACGGCTCCTAATATTCTCTTTTATTTGTCATTCATTTTGTTACTGTCTTTTTCACTGGGATTAAAATATTTAATTTGTAGACAGTTTTAGACTGAAATGTTCTTAAAATAATGTGCCTTTGTCGCTTTTGAAAACAAAGTGATAACAATAAAATCACTCGCGCGAAAAGCATTCAAATTGTAAATGTTCAAGTTGGATGTGAGCACAGTTCGATTGTCTTGATTCGTGCAGTGTTTGTTAATTTTACGACTACATTAGACAAAAGAAAAAAAATTATCTCTTGACGACAAAAGATAAGGCTCGTTTTAAACGAGAACTTCTGCTTTGCGGACTGCTATGATAACTTTTGGGAGAGTTCTGCCGAGTGGAAAATTTCCACATTAGGGACAGTCCCGTATCCCATCGTGCTCTATGGAAAGCAACGACCTTAAACCAAGCCTTTTCTGTCGGCGGCCGATTCAGTAGCCTTATCACGTCACCGTGTTTTGAACATAGTCTGAACAGTTTCACCTCCAGTGATAAAGAAAAAAAAAGATGTTTGTAAAGTCTCAAGCCATTGGTGTATTTCTGGGATTCACCGTTACATTTACGGCATCGTCGGTGAGTATATTTATTGATATTTCAATAACTGACGCGTATCAGTCCTATTTATTTAGGGTCTATCTGTACGCTTGCACGCATAATGCTTAACTGTTTCGTTCTGATCGTTCTGGGCTGAATATTTCATTCGCAATTCCTCGTTGTTATCGGGTCTGCTTATATCCCAAAGTTTTCTCGGATACTTAATTCCCATTTAGAGTACATTTCGTGTCCATATACTGAAAATTAATTCACACGCACATGGCCCAAAGTCCAAAATTGACTTATCGGTGACTTATTTCACACGTTGCCGTTTGGACGATCACGTGATCGAGGGCCTCGTCATATGAGCCGGTCAACCGGGCTGGCCCGGCTTCTGAGATCTCGACCGGGCTCCCCTATTTCCGGCCTTCGAAAA